CTTCGCCGGCTCGTCTGTGTAAACCCCGGGGGTGGTGACATATTTATGTGTGGTATGGTTGGGTAGGGCAGTGAGGCTATGCAGCCTGGGATGCGCTTTGCTAAGGTGGCCCTTAGGCTAGCGCGGGAGGGGAGGGGTAAGGAGGGTAATTAAATTATAGTGGCACAAATAATGACAATGAAATTAATTATGGTATGGTTGGCGACGCTGGTAAAGTAAGGCAGTAAAGTTATATGTCTCTGTTCTGTGGTTATAGGTTATAATAATAGTAAACACAATAACTGTGGTTGTTTTTACTACAAAGAATGTTTTTATTTTTACTTTCTTGCAGTTGAAAGTATATTACAATGTCAGAAGATAAAAGAATATTACAAGAATTTAAATTGGACTCAGATAATGAATTGCGGTTTGAGGTTGAGTCAAAAAACGAAAAAGTTTACTTGACTTTAAAAAGTGGTTTAGCCGAAGTATTTGGTACAGAGTTAGTTAAAGCTAAAACTTACGAATTTACATCTGGTGCAAAAGTAGCAGTGTATACATGGCATGGTTGTGTTGTTGAGGTAAAAGGGAAAACAGACGTAATTTATACAGCCAAAGAAACACCTATGGTAATGTATTCTAATTGCCATGGAGCGCTTGAATTCATGAGAGCTGATGCTGAGAAAGAAAATAAAAGAGGACCCATAGCAATGATAGTTGGGCCCTGTGACGTAGGTAAATCGACAGTATGTAGGATATTACTCAATTATGCTGTTCGAATGGGCCGTAGGCCTATACTGGTTGATCTTGACATTGGGCAGGGACAAATTTCTATACCTGGAACAATTGGTACGGCATTTTATTAAATTGCCTGCATTCGACTAATATTTATTTTACATTTTAGGAGCCTTGATGATTGAACGCCCATCAACAATAGATGAAGGTTTTTCTCAAGAGGCACCACTTGTGTACCATTTTGGGCATAAAACTCCATCCACAAATCCTACCTTATTTAATATGTTGATCCAACAGTTAGCCAGTACCGTTAAAGAAAGGCTAGAAGTTAATAAAAAGAGTAAGTCATGATTATGGGATTGTGAACTATTTATATATTGTAATATTTCAGCCAGATCATCAGGAGTTATTATAAATACATGTGGCTGGATAAAAGGGACTGGTTATAAACAGTTAATAAATTCGGCAAAGGCTTTTGAGGTTGATGTCATAATGGTACTTGACCAAGAAAGACTGTATAACGAGTTGGTTAGAGATATGCCGTACTTTGTTAAAGTTATTTTCTTGCCTAAAAGTGGAGGCGTAAGTTGTACAACGCTAATGTTATAAATTTGTTCCGCAATATATTTATTCTTTTTTTAGGTTGTGGAACGCTCAAAGAGTGCAAGATCAGAGAGTCGGGATCAAAGAATTAAAGAATATTTTTATGGCACACCAAAAAATTCACTATACCCACATTCGTTTGACATAAAATTTTCAGAAGTTAAAATTTATAAAATCGGGGCACCGGCCTTACCGGATTCGTGCTTACCGCTTGGTATGAAGGCTGATGATCATTTAACTAAATTAGTGGTCCTCACTCCTAATGCTGGTATACTGCATCATATTTTAGCCGTCAGTTTTTCAGAAAAAGATGACGATGATGTAATTTTATCACACGTAGCAGGATTTGTGTGTGTGTATGTAATTATTTCTTAAGATTAGTTGTAGTTGTTATATTTTCATTTGAAAGCTAGTTTAAACTTTTGTAAATATTTAAGAATGCATATTTTCCATTTTCAGGACAAATGTAGATCCAGATAGGCAGATTATTACGCTTCTTTCTCCTCAACCAAAACCACTGCCAAATAGTGTTTTGATACTCTCAGAATTGCAGTTTATGGATAGTCATTAGTTTGTTTCGAATATTAAACTATATTTTTGTAAATAAATAAATTACATAACTTCTTGTGTTATTTAATCTAATATGATCCTAAATNACAGCTACGGCAGGACTCCAAGGACTTCGAAAACGACAAGGGTATAATTTTAAAAATATATCACACGCAGATACACAGCGTATCCATTTAGTAATAATAATAATAATAATGTCATTATTTTTGAAAATTGTACAAAGCAAAATACAATTTCACCTACATAACGCGAAGTCTACTACTCTACTTAACCTTATAAAAAATTTAATTCGTATTAAATTATTTTGGATGATATCTAAACGTATATAAAAAATGCATATAAAAATAAAATAAAATGTTACATGAGCATAATTATTAAAATTACAATATTAAAATTAATTTAGATAGAATGAAAAATTGCAGTATATATCAAAAATAGCACCAGTCCTAAAACTGATCCCTGGGGAACACCAGAAGTTATAGGAGCAATATCTGAAAATACAGTTAAATAAAACTGTCTGTTGACGGTTAGACAAGTAAGTGTTAAAAAAATGTAAAGAACTCATCAAAGCCATAGTAATGCAGGGAATGATCGAGAGTATCGAATGCTTTGGAAAAATGAAGCAAAATTAATGCTGTAACATTTTTATTGTCTAAAGATCGTAATGTATTAATCTAAAATATTTCCTAAAATTGTCATAGGGCGCTGTGATTCTTACGGAAACCAGACTGACAAGAAGGAATAATTTTGTTTTCAATTGCATAGTTATATAATTGAGATTGGATAATTTTTTCCAATACCTTCGATAAAGTGGGAATTATAGTAATTGGTCGTAAATCAGAAAAATTTTCTGGATCATTCTTTTTCGCAAGAGGTTTGATGATAGATAATTTCCAAATATCAGGAAAATAACCAGTTTCTAGGCAACAAATTATTATATGTGTCACATGTTTGGGTACGGTTGGTAAACATAATTGCAACATAACAGCATTTATATTATCACTGCTATAGGCATTTGACTTCAGTTGATTTGGTTACTAATCTGTTCTATCATTACCAATGAAAATTTGAATAGCATACCATCACCAAACCTATTGCAACTGTACCATTTTGTATTATTTTGGCAATTATCTCTAGGGCTAAACACTGTAGAAAAATGTTTATTTACCTTATTAGGTTTCTGAAGATGACTAGGAATATGTACAATATGAGAGGACCGCCTAGCCGCGTGTCTTGGCCGGTGGATTTCGATCTGCTGAGGAGAGCATCACGGATGCAGGCTGGAATTTGGATGGGTGACCTAAGGCAGGCTCGGGGACGTGGCTGTGGCATCAAAGAAAATCTCTGTAACTCAAGACCATGCTATTATACATAAACTGTACGAGACTTTGCCATCAAGCCACCCGTGTAGTAAATAGGTTGGTTTGAAGAAAAGTACTCAAGTAATGAAGGAGGATGTACAAGCGGCCTAAGAAGGCCTAAGTGCCGCGGTGGAAAAACAATTCGACCACCCTCTGACATACATACATACATGTACATTATGACTATGTTTTAGATTTAAGTTCCTTACTGAATTCCAAAAATCTATAGATGAGTTTTTTCATGAAAATTTAAATATGCAGTTTTCTCACGCCTGATTGCATTCACTGTATAATTACGTAGTTCCCTATAACAGTTCCAGCTGGAAACCGTTTTATTTTTTTTATAGTTTCGGAGAGCCTTAATTCCTCCTTTATTAAGCATTTAATGTTATGAGTTATCCATGGTGCAAATGGTTTTGTAATGCAAGATGTAATATAAGGCGCGTGTTTATCAAACAAGAATAATATTTTGTTATTTATTTATTAAATATTAACGTAAGAAAAAATTATTTAAATTAATTAATAAGTTACATAAAATTTTATTATTTTACAAAATTATATATTGATATATGTTTATTAAGTTATTGAGGGAAATATAAAAAAGTAATAAATAAGTCAATCCAAAGTAAAGATTCTCGCAGCAATATCATTGATGAGCCAGTCTATTCCATCTAACAGATTATCACCTGTCACTGCGCTGCACCAAACAATTCGCCAATGATGCGTTTTTATTTTCTCCAGTTCTAAAACCTAAAAAAAAAATTTCAATCAGTGCTTAGAAACCTGGCAGTACTTTACTTACATCACGTAATTCTTCAGCACTACAGGCTCCTGGTAGGTCTTGTTTATTTGCAAATATTAATAGAGTAGCTCCAGACAATCTCTAAAATTATTCATAGTTTATTAAATCTGATATCAATATCTCGGGAATATGGTTTAAAGTTTAAAGTTCTAACCGAAACAATACTAATTATTTTCAGCATTTTAAAGGTAAACATGACAATATTAAGCATTCCTTCAATTCTGAAAGAATGTATGTCAAATGATATGAGAAATTTACCTCTTCTTGTAATAACACATGTAATTCATTTCTACAGTCTTCCAATCTCCTTTTGTCTGCACTATCGACAACCCAAATTAGACCATCTGTGCATTCAAAATAATTTCTCCAGTAAGACCTTAGAGATTTTTGACCACCTACATCCCACATGTTTAATTTAAATCTAAAACAATAAATACAATACAAATTAATTGATTTATAGAGAAGTCATGCCGAAAGTATATGCTCACCCTCGATGTTCTAGTGTCTTTATATTAAACCCTAACGTTGGAGATATGGTATTAATTGGTTCTCCATTAAACCTTTTCAAAATCGTTGTTTTGCCAGCATTATCAAGGCCCCTTGTTAGGAAATTTATTAAGGAAAACAATGCAGAAAATAATATTAAAAGTTTACAAGTTTTAAAGGATACAACATTAATATTCTCATTTCTTTTTCTTTCTGTTTCATTTTCTTTAGAATTGTAAGAAAACCCATTTCAATTCGGTTTTAATTCAAAGCAACAAAAATAATTATGTGGAGAAGTAAATTCGAGCTTTGAGGTTACAAAATTATTTTATTTTGACTTCTGTCATTCTGTCGTTTATACAAAATTGAAGAATACACGATTTTTCGCGAGTAACACTTTAATTATTTTAAGTCACTATACTCCGCGGTCGAAATTATAGAGAGTGATTCATCGCTAGCTCTTGGACTAGTAAGGAGAATGAGGCGTGCGGAGATCGAAAATCCATAGGCGTGTATACGTAAAAGGCAACAAGATGTAGAAAATATGGAAAAAATATAATAAAACAACATCTATTATTTTTAGAGGTTTTATCGAGAAAACTTCAAAAATATTTTAGTAACATTTTGTTTTTAAATTTTAAGTGTTTTCTATAAAACGATGCCCTCTTGGGCATCGATAACCCACCACCACCCGGCTTACGCCGCCGCAAAATATTGTAATGTTTACTATTAACATATTTATTTAAGTAGGTACTTACATATTTTATAATAATTATTTCACGAATATTATCACTGTCACACTTTCACTTCACTGCCACATAATCACTTCACTATTAATATATTTAAATACTTACATATCACATTATTCACATTATATATTTCACATATCACTGTTGCTATCACTATCACTAGAATCATCTTCACCCAAATGAATAATGACTGGTTCTATGAACACTTCTACCGTTGTATCAAGATCCCACATACGTTGTTCCTCTTTCTGTGCAACGTGCATGTCCAATACACTTACACCATGTTTCAGCAGTGACGTGATTAATAGCATCCTGTAATAATAATTTCACGTCGTTTATTTTAAAGGTGGTGTTTTTTCGTGCGATATCATTCTTTATTTGTGCCCAAACCAACTCAATTGGGTTTAATTCACAGTGGTATGGCGGTAAACGGAGTACCTACACGAATTCCTCGATCTTTGGCCATCTCATCCACTACATACTTAATGTATTGACCTTTTTCTCTTTAGCATACTATTCCGATTCCGATTAAAAAAATATATATAAATAAATAGGTATCGAAAATTCGTGTCACGCATTATTCTTCTAAGAACCTTATCAGAGAAATTAGGAATATCTTCATCTTCAGCTATTGCAGCTTGAATTTTCTTTATCGTTATTACAGGATAAAGAGGGATAATCCCCCAAATCATTGAGGCCAATTTCTAGGCATGGAATAATGGCGCGGTATTTTGATTCCTAAAGAAAAATCCATGAATTTTCCTACGTATGGAGTATTTCACGCCAACGTCGACTTTTTTCTTCCTCCCTCGTGTTTCCACTTTTTTCTTCTTTGGATTCACTTCTACACTATTTCTTATGGTACCTACGATAAACAGTAGCAACGGATACTTTTGTCAACGAACTACACATATTAACAGCTTCACTTACACTTGTATTAGAATTTCGCGACCGAATTCCTTTATAAACGTTTTTTACCATTATTAATTCCCCATCGCATAGGTTAGGGCGTTTATGAGCAACAGACCGTTTGCTACAACCGGCACTTTGATCCATTTCAATTATTATTCCTACGTTTTAAAACGTCCCGATTGTATTTTTTTAATTTATACATTTACTATAGTCACGGAATACGCAAACCCTCGCGCGCGCTTATAGTTTGACGTTTCTAACTACGGCTACCTCGAATTCTACGTACGTCCGTTTACACCCACTAAAAAGAGCATTTCCCTATCTGTAATAAGTGCGATAGACAGAGATAGGAAATAAATCGCGTTCAGTGTAACTCAGTCTATGACTGTTATAGATCCTATCGATGTGCAAAGAGAGCGGTACATCATTTAACATAAGCAAATAATATTGAACCGTTATAAAAATAATTTTAAGTTTTATACACTTTACGGTAATAGTGTTTCTATATTATGTATGAATCACTCTCTATAATTTCGACCGCGGAGTATAAGTAGGTAATAAATATTTATTTTATATTCAATTATTTACTTCTATCAATAATTATAAATACATGATGATCTAGTATTTGTTTTGTACAAACATTTCTGTTGTAATTAATTTATGTTTTCATCCGTATTCTCGTTTTCAATAGGCTGTTGTAATACTTCCACAGGTATATTTTCATCCGTTATTATAGTCTCAGTGGGAACAGCACATTTGTTCTCATTCTCAGCGGTATGTTCTTCTGATTGCTTCTCGGTTGAAGTTTCTTGTTGCTCTGGCACCTTTACCTCCTCATCCTCCTTTCCTTTTCCTTTCTTTCCTTTTTTGCCTTTCTTTTTTTTGACCGGAGGGGGTGGCAAGACAGTATCAGGATAATATTTCATGTAAACTCGCTTCATTTCCACACAATCGATGTTTTGATTCCTTGTTGTGAATCGATTATATAACTCTTTAAGTAAGTCCTGATCCAACCTTTTTATTTTTTTCTTCTTTAGCAATGTTGCGAACTGGGCCTTCGTAATTGATTCATCAGGCAAGGACAAGACGAAATGACTAAAAATAGGATATATTATGAAGATTTATATTGGATGCTTCTGAAATAACTGTGTGCCTTCAAAAGACGTGAAAATAAACAATTTTTATAGGGCAATTGTGGTCTAGTGTCACGTGTTCCAGAAAATTAATCAGGGATTATTACATGAAGTTTAGGCCGACATTGCATCGTCCCAGAGTTAATCAACTGATCGACTGTTTTGCAACAGGGCCGGTTTCAAAATGTTCTGCTTTAATTTGACAATCTTTTTATCTTCAAAATATTGACATTTTAGTGCTCAAGTTGCTTAATGAAAATTGTTTATTTCACGACCTCTATTACCCTTTTGAAGGAACACCTTGTATAATCGATTAGGTTTATTAAGTTCAGTTACTTGCCCAAAATCTTTCTTTAGCTTTTTCTTTTTCGGTTTTTCTAGCAGGTACCTGCATCTTTGAAATATTAACTTGTTGATGTCTGGTCCTTTAATAGTATAGTTGCCTAAAATGCTGCCGTACTTGATAGTTTTACCTGAACTCTTTATTCTAACTAATAACTGAAAGTATAAATAAGTAGGTAGGTACGTACATATATTTTTTTGAAAACACAAATGCTAACCGGTAGAACTTTCTTATCAAACACCATGTTTTCCATATCTAGATGGGTCAGTGGATCCTGTTGTTTTAGTGGTAGCACGGACGCCAAAAAATAGGCATCGTCAGGTGAGTAGAGGTTGTTTCCTATTTTAACGGACTTTAGAGACCGATTTTGGAAAATTCCTAGTCGAACCGACTTTAGTGACGGACCCTCTAGCCTAAAATCCGTAGGATCTAATTTTTTTATTTGATAAATTACTGGCCACATGCTACATTATATTAGCATTACACAGGGTGTTTCAAAACTTGTGTCGGAAAATGAAGGGTGTGATTTTTTGGCTTATTCTAAGAAAAAAATATATCCGCACCGTTTTCGAGATGTCAAAAAAAAAAAAAAAATTCAGTTCTTTGACGATATCTCGAGAACCGTTTGAAATACAAAACTCAAATTTTGGACATATATTATCATTAATATTAGCTACTCTTTAGCTCTAGCTTTAATTATTCATATGAGAGTAGCGGATATTTTAGAATTGTGTGAGGTTCTTTTGTCCCTAATTTTTACGACTGGGGAAATCGACATTTTGAAAGCATATTTTAAACCGCTCAAAAGTAGTTAATGTTAATTATAATACGTGTACAAAATTCGAGTTCTGTATCGCAAATGGTTCCTGAGATATCGTTAAAAAATGACAAAAAAAGTTTTTTTTGACACCGTATATCTCCGAAACGGTGCGTTTGCGGACCCATGTTAAACAACTTTTTTTCTTAGAATGAGCCAAAAAATCACACCCTTCATTTTCCGACACATGTTTTGAAACACCCTTTATATGCTTGTTTTGGACCAGAAAATTTAGTTATATCTTTAACAATGCATTTATGTATACAGAATATAACTAAAATGTTTAGCTAAACTTTCATGGCGGATTGTGCGTCACAAATTAACAGAAACAGTAGAGAATCTGCTGCTTTTTTCCATAAATAATAAACAAATTTAAACGATACCCAGGCATTTTTATTTAAATTTTCAGCAAGAACTCTTACAGACATAACAATAATTTGACAACTTGACAAATGTCAAATTATTTTAATTGTTTTGGAGTGTTTCTGGTCATGGCCAATTTGACAACAGGTGTGATACGAGAAAAAATGTGCTAAAAAATAGAAAATTGCAAATATCTCCAAAAGTAGTAATGGCAACACTAACAATGCTTACATGGTTCGAAAGGAAATTTTAATCTGCATACGACGGAGTAAAAAATATAGGGTGTTCCATTTAAGTTAACAAAGTTATAGCTGTTTGAAGTTATCAAAATGTAACAGCAAAAATGAAACACCTAGTATTAAATGTTTTAATTTGTTGGTATACCATAATTTAGCGTTGCCTATGCCCTTTACAGGTACCAAAAATCCGCTTGATATCATGCTCCTGAGAAGAGTTACTAGCATCTGCGAGGACCCTTGCATCTGTCAAATTATTTCTTTAAAAATTAATATCTCAAAATCTATAACTCCTAGGTATAGAGAATATTTAATAAAGTGGCCCTGAAATTTCACGTAGAATACGAAAATGTAATAATATATAGGGTGTTCCATTTAAAATAACGAAGTTGGTGTCGACTTCCGGTATAACTGGAAGTGCTGTAACTCTCTGTATCTCAAAAACGAAGAGTTACCGGACGCAGGTTATGGAAATTTATTTGTTAATTTGTGGCGTAGATTCCGCCATTGAAATTGTGCCAAATGTTTTATTTTACCCCGATTTTATTTTAAGTAATTCGATTTTGTTACTAGATGTTATTTTTCTGGTGGCAACAAAAACTGTTTGTCCTAGAGGACAATTTTGAGAAATTATTAATTATTTGGTCATATAAAAAAGTATGTCATATGTTTCCTTTGATGAATGGGAATAAGCCTCTGAAATCCATTTTGCCAGTTATTAACCTGTTACTACTAATATCCAAGTGCTCCAAATTTTCTGTCACCTTTAAATAATTGGTAAGGGGACTCACTGCCAGTTTCATGGATATCCCATTCCAAGCTATGTTCAAAACTCGCAGAATATCGTTCTCTTTCATCGCATTAAACAGTTTCTTGTTACCTTCAATTATAATGAAACTAATTAATTATATTTATCAGCAACTTAATCGTAATAAACGTATTTTTAGCAGTTAAGAGGTGAGGCGATTGTGAAATGAAATTACAGTGAAACTTTTACTGAATGTATACATAATTATAAGATATATTTTTACATTACTTGCAATCTTCATTGAGAACGTTTTTTCTAGTCGACAAAAGCAACTTTTTACCTGGAGCAGTACAGAATGAGTTCCAAGACAAGTCAAGTTCCTGAATGAACTTATTTTCGAGTAAAATTTTTTCTAAAGTATCCGCAGACTCTTCAGTTAAACCATTATGGCTTATATTTAACACTCGTAAGTTCGGTGCTTCACACAAGCCTGTTTGTAGATCAGTTAAACCTTTATCACCTAAACTGTTGAAACTTAAATCTAACTCCGTCAGAAATTGGGAGCTAGACAGAGCTTCGTTTAATATTTCTGCTCCTGCAAAGTTAAAATTGTGTTATATGCAGCCAGAAACAAATTTGTCTTTTTAGAAAGCGATGATATCAATTAGAACAAGGGAGAAATAAAATAAAATACAATTTATGAATTTGTTACTGATGGCAGTGAATACCTTCTTGTCCAATTCTGCATTCTCTCAGATTCAAAATCCTTATACTGCTATTTTCTTCCAGCATAGTGCTGAGCATCACAGTGTCAGCCACTTTCAGCCAGTTGTCTTGTAAAATTAATTTTTTTATGTGGGTATTGATCATTAAAGTCTCGGTTAGTGCCTGAATTTGTTTAGTAGTCAGACCATAATACTAAAAAACCGTTACTGATTTGTATCTCACTTCCACAACAGTGCTTACGGTTCTATAGTTGAGAACTTGCACCTTTGTGTAATATACGAGGTGATTCACAACTTATTTAAGAAGTTTTGGGAGTACATGCGCCATTAAAAATAAAATCGATATCTCCAAAACAGTTATAATATAAAATATATAGGTACAGATTTCGAGAAAAAAGACGACTGCGACTGTATGTTCATTAAAATATATAGCCAAATACTATTACCAGGGGTTATCTGGATTAAATGAAATTAGACTTCACATTATCAAATCGAATGGATGGTTTTCAATGTCTCGAATTTCTTCGAGTTGATTTGCTAGGACTTTTTGAAGTTGTGTCCCTAATTGTTCGATGGCAATTTTTGACAAAATATTACAGTTGCTGCCAATAATTTAAACTGCAATATATTTTTCGGATTAATTTAAAACAAAAAAATTATTTTATTATTGGAAATTCTCTGGAAGAGTATCAGAATACTAGGAAAAATGTTTGCGGTTAGTTGCTAGTGGTAAAACATTGTTAAATAATGAAAGAATGAAAGTTTTTCATTATTTTGTGACTTAATTTAATTTTTACCTTTAGATTTATAGTGTCCCCAGGCAGTGATTTAACTATTCGGGAAATAGGGACTATTTTCAGTTCTTTACAGATCATCACGTATTTTTCAACTCCTATATCATCATAAACAGGTTCCGGTTCTGAAATGTTGAATGAAATTGAAAGATTATAAAAGGTAGGTTTTTTTTTCTGATTTCATGCTATACAGGATGATTCACAACTTATCCAAAAAAATTTGGGAATAGATGAGTCAAGGAAAGTGGAGTCAATATCGTAAAAAAGTTGTAGTATTTACAACCCTTACATCGCTGGTCTACTGTAGTCTCTAGCATCATTCGAATTGTGCGCTGTACGCAATGCGCTCTCTCTCCATGTGGTCCCAGGTGATTCCGAATAGTGTTTACATTAGTTTTTCAAATGTCAAAAATGACTTACGTGCATAGCAACTCGGAGTTGATGGAGATCGTTTTAATCTATGGTGAAGCAAGACAACATTTGTGTTATGGTGAAGCATTTGTGTTATGGTGCAGCAAGACAACATTTGTGTTAGTTGAATTTGCTGATGGGTTATAAAATTTTATTTATTTCTTTCCTTAGGAAAGAAATTCTTTCAATTTTTTGTTTGTTCATGCTGCATGTCTTGCCTTGCGCTAGGTCAGGTTTTACAGTGGACCAGTTTCCAGTGTCGTGCGGAAGTGTATTTTTAAATCATTGTCGAACGGCCCATTTCGATTTCTTTTTACAAAATTGTAATTGTAAGAATTCCCTGTACATTCAATTTTTTTTTTTTTTTGAGAAGTTCTGAATCACCCCAAGTATTTTTGAATGTATGTCATAACTTCAAGAAACTTGTTCTTTTTACTTTAATGGGATAAATTACACATCATCACAAAAAAAAGTGTGTGTATCTTACAGTACCTCTCTGTGTCTACACTGAAAAAAAGTAATCGTACTTCCTTAGCTGTATTATTAGTGAACGTGAGTTTTTGCTATCAAAATCGTTCAAATAATATAGGTTAAGGAATTTAGAGGGATATGGTGCAATAAGATGATGAAATCCAATGTTTGTTCTGATCACTGACTCCTCAATTAGGTTTGAAAGCTCGAAAATTTCTAGAGGAGTTTCCCCGACGTTACAGTCGAAATACGTACTGATCCGGGAATTCTGAATTTAGATTGGATTCGGCGGGTCAGCCAATTTTTTGTGTAGCGTTATGTTATGATAATCCAAGTTTAGTCAATCTGAGTCAAACATATTCTATAAACCTTTAACTTCCGTACCTCGGGTTCTATCTAAAATGATCCAAGAAACAACCAACCGGAGTTATGACACGAATTTATAAAACATCATGTATAAAGTAGCGACCACTACTTCTAGTGATCAATCTTAGCATCGGGTTTACATTTAAATAAGGGGGAGATAATCACAACAGACCTACATAATTGAAAGCCTCGTTTATGCCAGGATCATGCAAAGGAGGAAATCTAAAGTCCTTGTTGCGCATAACTGCGCTGCTGGACAGCTGTACCTGCTGCAGGCATCTAAAGGACTCGGTTTTCTTGTACAGCAAGTGCAAACTGTCGCACTCATTTTCAACTAATTCTTCAAATTCCATTAATTCTTTACTGATCTGGTCTTCGGATATTAAGGGCATCTCCATTCCTTCATCCTTACTTGGAATTTCCTGGTTCATTGCGAATTCAAATGCGCGGGGACTTACTTCACTGTCAATAGTGACAAATTTGCTCTATAAATTTATGTAGACAAGGCCATAGATTATAGATCTAATAGTACTATATTAGATCTATGGCACTTAATAGACAAGGAGATCGTTGCTTTACACAGATTGTAATATGTGACGCCTCCAGTGACTGCGCCGATAAGTACTGATGTAACCCGGGGTTTTTAAAATATATATTGCTTAAATGATTGATTTTTTACTTCTTATTTATTACAATATGTCATAAAGGTATAAACATAATAACAAACTAAAAAAACAACATGTTTATAAGTATAAGAAATTATGTCAGTACCATTCTGCACATTGTTGTAATTTGTACACATTTAAGGTGCAATGTAATGTATTAGATCTCAGTTTTCGATACTCGAATATTCAGATGTGACATAAGGCTTTTTTGCGCCTGAATATTGGCGAATATCCTAACTTGTACTTACTATTTCGATCTCTTCTGATCTTAGTTGTCATATGGTTGTTTAAATCTCTTCATTCACTATCATACTACTCATACCACAACATACGACTTCACTCGCGAAAAAAGCCAATAATGTCTGAACAATCGTATCTGTTCTTGCAGAAATAATGGAAATCGTTGCGACGATTTACTCAGCTAAGTAATGAAAATTTTCTAAAAAGGGTAACTACCATCTAGTCTACTGAAAATTTTGAAATATTTCCTGCATGTTTTTTATTGTAACTGTTGTATCCTGAGAAATTAAACTCGACATTACACTTTATTTATAAAGAAGTTAAAAAGTTTATGACCTAGATTTTTGGAGGTAAACGATGTTATCCAAATCACAAAAGTATTTACAATTATTACAGAAAACAATATTCAGCGGAAGTTTGTTTTCGAGACACTGTTCTTGGATTTTATTCCTTCTAAATTCTGAAACAATCATTTGTAATTTGTACAGTCTATTCGCCAATCCAGGTTAACCAGAATGTCATTAATAAAAGTCATAAATGAAAGGGGGAACCATATGGAGCCTTGAGGAACTCCAGAAGCTGCTGAGATTTCAATGGATTTCAGTCTACCCTATGTGTGGTATTTTTCCATACACATACGAATTAAAAAAAAATTATAGGTATAGGCACTAAATTGATGTAACTTATTAATAAGTAGGTCGAATCCTAAAAGGAGGCTTAAAAGAATCTAGCAGATTATTGGCAATATCTGCTATTTGCTAACTAATGATGCTGTGGCAAAAAACTACTCCATGGGATATACCCTGATTGGCAGTGAATTACATTCCCAATATCTAGTACCACACCCAACAGTAGGTATAGATTTTCGTGTAACTGATTTTAGTAATTTTTGTCCCATTTTAACATATCTAATCTTTTTACGTACATACATAATGTGCATTTTAAAATATTCTTGGAAAAGTATTATCTACATAGTAGCCTCTAATCCTACTTTTGTGCACTGTTTCCTTAATGGTTTTTTAAGTTGTTTTGTAGAAATGTTCTTTAGTTATCTGGATTTGATAATTATTCATATAAAAAGGAATAATTTTAGACAATTGTCGGTGTAGTCAACAAGATGTTTAGAAGGGTGGCTATTTATGCATATGTTGCTTTTTTGATTTGCTGTTCGATTCAAGCACGAGAAGTTACTCAGCCAAGATCTCTTTTTGGACGTAAGTATATGTTTTAAATACGTGCCAGTGCGCGTATTAAAATAATAAAAGACTATTTAAACTATTTATTTCGAGACATTATTAAAATCGTTTAGGTACTCTTTTGTTTTGATAAAGTAGGGTTGGTTTTCAGTTTTGACTAAACGATAAATGATAATATGACACAAAAAAATCGATAACATTTTTGTACCTTGTAAAATTTCGAAATTGCAAATATTGTACATATTCAAATTTTTTCTGTTAGCAGTTTTTGGTGGCTCACCTATATGTACAGGATGTCCAGCACGATTTTGTGACGACGATCCTTCCATCATTTATGGATATTGCTGTGGTTGTGCAGGCTTATTTGGTATGGATTATTTCATAAATATTTGCATATTTAATAATTAAAGATCGGAAATTTTACGGCGGCTGCAATATGATACAGAGTTGGATGTATGCCGGGTTCTCTTTACTGTAATTTTATGCAAACGAAAATCGACACAACCGTTGCCTTCTTATAACTGCACTATTTACATTATGAGAATATACGTATATGCAAGTATTTGCATAATTGTATGAAACAAAAAGAGGCAGCGTCTATTATTTTTCTACACTAAACGCTTCACATGGAACTTACCATGAAATATATAGGTACAGTACGAAATAACCAGCAAAAGATAACAAAATAATAATTTCTTACTCATAAGGAAAGCGATTGTAGAAAATAATTAACGATTGTCTTCGAAGTGTCCCGTGGTTCGATAAATACCCATTTGTGATCTATAAAGATGTGCATCGATCAATTTATTCGATATGTAGCTAGCGACACCCTAATGACTGCCCTGTCGGCCTAGCGACGGCGTACCTGTGAACAATGCAGTTTTTTTACTGAAGGACATTGGTCGTGCATTCATGGTTTGAGTGAGTTTGACGCTTTGCTTGGTCGAGTGTATGGCAGCCTATTTCTGTTACTACAACGTGTATTGCCGCTTACTAGCATAATATAGACTACTACTGCTTATTTATTTGCTTGTCGCCACAAAGTTTCCGATGTCTATTAATAATAATAACTAATGGTTTCAAACAATATTGAAATTGAAATTAACACAGTAATATTTTACAGATCGCCTGCCGGTTCACTGCTCTCCATACCTACAATGTCCAGCGAACAGCTACGAATTGTGCCAACAGTACAACTACATGTTGTACTGCTGCTGTTCTAACATTAAGTAGTTTTAGTACTTAAATAGTACTATTATAATTAGTTACTAAAATAAAATATTTATAGCTATGAAGTGTTCAATTTTTATTGTTTTGCTTTACATTATTTAAAAAATACTTGAATAGACAAACCTCATACTGTTACATTAAATGTCCACAATTTCTAATACTGCAAAAATAGATACCTACCATGTTTGAATAATAATTATAATCTACATCTAAATATAAATCTGTTAAATAGTATGGATACATCTGATTCATGAATCGCTAAGATTTAAAAGAAATTGTTTTATATTTAAATGAATAGTTATATTTTACGACGTACGTTTATTACATTTACACACTATACAGGCTGTCTACTATAAGAGGACCACTCCTATGAATCTCGCTTAATATACGACGCACGTCAAAAATCTTTATACAATGTTTTTTGTTGCATTTTAACGCCTTAATGCTCGTAAAAACAGATTTAAGATCTATGGCCAACTTTATGAGAAATCGTAAAAAAACGGAAAAGTACCGAAAGTTTAGGGCCGTCTAACTTTTTTATTTCAAAAGATGGACTAATGGTAATTTACATTAGCACGGAGAAACTGCCTTTCAACAAAGGTTTTCAGTAAACGTTTGGGTTAAAAGTCTTGATACCAAAATCATAGGACCTTACTTCTGTGATGGGTGCTAGGTATTGCAGATTCTTAGCTTCAAAAAAGTACATTATATTCATAAAAGTTTTTGTAGTTTACCTGTTTAAAACAATTTCTATACATTAATCTGCAACTCTCCCGGTTTCGAAAATTCAGTACCTATGTATGATTTCAGCCACGAAAATTGAATAATTCCAAATATTTCGAAGTTTCACCACCAAAAACGGCGGTAACAAGATTTTTAATAGTAAGGCGATGTTTCGCATTGTATTAGCTATTAGTCCAATCATTGGCGCTCAAAAAGGGGGTTGCCTGTGAAGTTTTAGGGGTTTTGAAAATTGGTATATTTATAGATTTTGACGTGCTCTTTCCGAAATTTTAATTTGCCACCTCTTTTTTTTCCGGAAGTAGCCGCCATATTGGAAAAATGACGCTACAAAACGGTTTCTTGACGATATTTCCTTTTCGACTCACTTTACGGTAAAAACAGTTATGTAATAAATTAAACTAGAGAACATTTCCTATAATTCATGTATAAACCTTTTTTCTGTGAAATGAATAGTTTCGGCGTACGAGCGCCGCAAATTCTACTCCAACACGCGTATTGGCCAACAAACTCATTTCCACACCACCATGAGTAGAGTTCCTGGCGCGTTTTTTTTTAGTGATATCCCCAGTAGGCCGAATCCACATGTGGAACACTGTTGACTAAATTTAGTGCATTCTCCTTCGCTTCGCTATCCCTGATGGACCAGGTTTTGCGAGTTCTTCGTCTTCAAAACCTCACGGACAGGAAGTTCTTCCAAGTTATCCGCGATAGGATTCTCTTCTCCGACTTCATCATCTTCCTCGATTTCGTCGAAGGTTTGCTGAAGACCTGTCTCCGTATCTTCCTCTTCATCACTGTCTTGCAGATCAACATCCGAATTGACGCAGGTACCTACCATTGCAATTCGCGCAGATAACGGAGCACTTTAGTCCAGCCTTTCTACATTCACAGACTCCCCGACATCCGTTTTTACATTTGTAAGAAATTAGTTTTAGCAAGTTTGCTGGAGCTGGGGGCTCGAGTAAGGTGACAAGAATTAGCCCATTCTTGCTTTTTTCCAGCCCCACCGCTCTGCATTTTTTCCAACTCCGTATCACTGCTGAACCTGGTGATAGGAACAAATGTTGTGGTGCTGCTGCTTTTGTCGGTGGCAGCGATGCAATATTAAATTTATTTTTAAATGCTGACTTCGTGAAGCATGTATATTTGTAGGTATTTAACGACATACTTTTTACGACACTGTAACCGTACAACGCAAGGAGGAAGCGTTATCAAGCTTCAACAATGCTTTCCGGGTCAGCATTTGGGTTTTACCCGGACGAGCTCGTTTAAATCTCGGTGGTTCTTTAATAAATTCTTTAAATAAATTGGAGTTGGAAAAAATGTAGAGCGGTGGGGATGGAAAAAAAGCAAGAA